GACTCATTCTTCTGCCGGTAATTATCTGCATTATCATTATCTGCCTTCTGCAGATAATGAACGATTAAATCTAACAGTGCATTCTCCCAGTTATTATTCTTACCAATCTTCAATACAAGCAGACATATTTGACCTCGAAATCTAATGTAACATTAGCTGTAATATTATCGTATAGCCACACAGCGATCTCCCTTTAGACCATCGCCCTCTTGTTTTCTCGCTAAATACAGCCCAAAAAGAAAATCGCACTACTCAGCTCTATCACCTTCAAAAGGTCAACTGGCCTCTTTTTCAGATGCTGATTTCTCGTACCTTGCCTACACTGCCGTCGCTGAAAAACTCTCAAGGAATTGACAGATCCAATGTCTCCCTCATCTACACCATTCTCGTTACTCTAACAATATCACAAAAGATATGTACTAAATCACTGGCCAAAACATTCCCCCTTCTTCAAATCCTACCTCAACCTACTCGCTAAAATAGTTAGGCATATTTTGACAATATCCAGCGCCCAATTCTTTCACTTCCAAACCCAAACATTACCCCACGGATCACACGCTGTGGAATATTACTCGCCGTAAACCAACAAATATGCCCACACTAACAACCACAACATAGATAGCAACTACACCTGCAGAGAAAAGCAAAGTACTAGGAGAATACTTTGCCACAACCTATACTCTCCAACCTCCAGAAAATACCATTTATGATTTTTTTAATCCTTTATGAAATCCGCCAAACCAGTTTCAAGATGTCTAAAGTTTCATCACCCACCAACATTGTGAAACATTGTCGCTACCACAAATGTTTCCAGTGAGCATGATATAAATCCAACATAATTAAACCCACATTTAAAGTTATTGTGCATATAACAGCAATATTCAATAAATCTCTTTGTCTGACATACTTTCCTCGCAAATTGAAACAAGAACGCGTTATTCCTATTCCGAAACCAGATAAGACAAAAAAGACACAATAAGTTATCACCCATGTCTTCTGCCCTCCTTAGGAAAGTTGTTTGAAAAATGTATTCTCGCTAGATTGATATTTCAATTCACATTATGACATACCCCACCCCCTCCACACACACCAATTCGGTTTTCAACCACTAATTTCATAGTCTACCACATTTTAGGACTAACTGTTATACTAAGACTTAACTTAAGACATGATCAAAGACTTTCATGAAAAACATGCAGGGGCAACTTTTCTCGATGTAGCTAAAGCTTTGGACAACGTCTAGTATCCAGAACTATTACAAACATAATCGGAACCTTCCATTTTCTTAATCGAATTATCAACAGCTTCCATGGAGATCGCTCATTTTCAGTTAGGTTTCAAGGAGCTATTTAATCTTCTTCTCCCATAAAAGTAGGAGTATCCCAAGGATCAATCCTCTCTCCCATGCAACCTTTACACCACCAATATATCTTCCTCCTCACATACCTCTATTGCACTGTTCGCTGATGATACCGCTACATATGCGTCGCATCGTAATACTGACACCCTATAAGAAGACTTGCAACATCACCTCTCTCAGTTCTCTGACTAGGTCAACAAATGGCACATCCAAATACATACAACAAAAAGCCGAGTCAAAATTCAAAGTTTTCCTTCTTAATTCGTAAATAAATCCAGTTATTGATGTAAAATGTTCACTACGAAAGGAGGTGAGTATTAATTCGGTTTATAAAGAATTCATTTTTTCAACCCAAATAATTGCATTTACCTTTTTAGTATTCAATACATTATGACAAATAATGTTTGGCACACTTTCTGACTTTCAAAAATACAGTAATTTACTTACAACCTCTTAGAACTGCAATTTGATGCATACATATAATGTGTTGACCAATACTGAAGGCATTATTACAATTTCCAATAACATTCATTTCTACGATCTATTTGCAAAGAAGGTTTTGGTCTAAGTTACTGTCGATAGGTATGTATGTTATACAGTACGCTGCTGATACATTACCTTGAGATCACTTAATCACAAATGAAGGTATTTTATGCCAAGAATTAAGTAATTTACATGAACATACACGGCTGCGTTATCTTTCTTACCAGTATTTCATTTCCTTTTTGCGAATTTAATGAATCAATGAATAAATTTTCAGAACCACATGAGTATTTATTGTGAGCTCGAATACTACCACCATTTGAATAATAATAATAATAAAACTAGTGGTGCTACAGATTGGCACAGACTTTCCGGTAATCGTTTTCTATTTCCTTTGGTCTCATATAGCTATCCGGTCTTGCAACATACTCTTATCAGTTGCCATCTATCGCCGCCCAAAGTACATTTTTGTGAAGCTTTTGTAATTTTTCAGTTTCCTAATATTAGAACGGAAATATATTTTGAGAATATGAAAAGTAAAATCTTGTACTAAATGGCAATATTATTTGAAAAATTTGGAGCCGTTTTTAATAAAATGGCTTTTAAGCGCTACTGTATAATCGAAATTTGAACCTCACTTCACAGAAAACTATTGGGTTTTTGAAAAACTTCATAAGGCGCCATTTCAATCACTGCCAGTCACAAATGCAATAGTGTTTACAAATCCTTGGAAATGTGCATATCATTTCATCATTCAAAGCATCAATGCATCATTAAATATGCACAAGACATCAGAGATATTCAAAAACATTTGTGTAATTTTTGAAAAACAAAAGAAGATAATCAAATTAATTGTATGTCATCTTGAACTGTGCATTTAGCACTATATATTTGAAAACTTTGAAGAAAAAATGTGCCATTTTTGAGAAAATAGCGTTTGAGTTTTTCTGAAAATGGGGAATTTTGAGCTAATTTTTAAAAGAACTATTGTTTTCAAAAAATTGTATTTAAAATTATTTAAATGACATGTACTAGTAAATACGTTAATGTGAATAAAATTGGCGCTAATGTAGATATTAACGAGATGAGAGACAAGTCAAAAAAAATACATTTTTGCCACTTAAAAAAAGAATAGACCAACATGGCGTTTATGTCATCTTCTGAAGTGAATTCAGAATTATCCCTACTAAAAGCTAAAAGAAATTGTAGCTGTTTTTAAGAAAAAACATTTTGTATTTTTTTGCTTGCAATATTGCACGAAAACTCGAAAACAAAAAAAACATGAGATTATTGGAATAACTAACTAAGAAGAACAAACTTTATTTAAGGAAAGATTTATGGAAATTTTTATTGAAATTATGAAAATTTAAGGAAAGATTTATATTTTCAATTTTGTAGTTATAGGAAGACGCCAAAAATTCAAACTTTTGCAATTATTGAAAGTTCAGAGTTAACAGTGAAAATCGGATCCATGTCACCTTTATATGTGTATTTTACTCTATTATTAGAAGAAATTGAAAGCAAATTTGGAGACGTATTTAACAAAATTGTGAAAATGTCCGGGGGTCTTTATGTAAAGTACACCCAAATTTTAATTTTTTTTTTAAATCGCGGCGACTCGAGTGGGCTCAGATGGTCCAGAATATATACATTTGGAAAAAACGCAAATATGATTTAGGCTTTAGTGGTGTTCACAGACTGACAGACAGACGAAAAGGACGTTTTGAAAAAAACACGTTTTCCGTATCTCGGGACCCCAAAATGTGTATTTCCGTGAAATCTCAAAGTCGATTTTCCGCAGTGTTACATCACTTTTCCTGTACTTCGTTTGCTACTCCGTATATACGTATGTATAAGGGAAAGTGAAAATTACAATTTATAATATTCTGTAGAACTTTTCTGCGACACGTTGGGTAGTTTTGTTGGTTTTAAACTTCAAAATTGACAATCTTATGCCACAAATGAACTCTACAAAATTAATTTATTAAAGGTCTTTTTTAAGACACACGCAAAATCGATTGTCACCATATTAGTATGTTAGCAAAAAATGAAACTTTGTGTTAGTTTGTTCTCACAGCAGTAACACTTGTCTTACAATGAAACATTTTGGAACAAATTCTTCTCTAAAAGTATTTAGATATTTCGTGTTTGATGGTTCGTGACTAATCATTATTAGGACAATAACCCCAACAAAAGGCCCTCTTTTAAAGAAACTTACTTTTTGCACCAAAACAATAGAATCCAAAAGATTTGATGAGGCACGAAGACCGTTCTATTGTTTGCTTCAAACAGAATTCCCCGTGCGTGAGGGGATTTCACCTTCTCCTCGGAAGTGAGTTGCGGGGCACCGTGTGGCGGCGCCAGCAGGCCTTCGGCTCCCATTCTTTCCAGGGATCTGCGATTCCGCGCCGATACTTTCGCCGGCGTCGATTACCGCTCCGCGCTCGTTGGCCCACCTCTGCCCGCTCCCTCTCCACGCAACCCTCCGCCCCCCTCGCCTTCCGCGCGGGCTCCGCCCCGTCAGCACACAGTCCCCACTCGCCTCCTCCGTCACGCTCACCGCCATCGCCTGCGTCCTCACCGGGATTGAGTGATGGTTTAGTGATTCCGGTCGCTTCAACTACTAAGGTTTTTATTCCCGTAAGTGTAGTGTATATTTTTGCTCGGGAGCTGGCGGTAGTCTTCCCCCGCTGGTTGGCGAGATCCGGCACCGACCAACCGTCGGCTAGTGGGGTTTTCCCTAACCAGGTATCCCACCAGCGGGGCACCGCCCCATCCGAGATAAGCTCTCAGCTCCTCATAGATCTCCCGGCATGTGTGGTAGTCTAGTGCGTGCTAGTGTAAGAGGTGAGGATAGGACAAGGAAGAGGAAGGTGAGATCGCGCGCGATCCGTGGCTAGTTTGTTAGGGTACTGCTCCAGCATTCGCCTGGTGCTGATCGGAGAAACCACGGGAAACCACCGACCAGAGAAGCCGGCCGCTAGAATTCTCTTCCAGTCGCGGCACCTGGAGCTCCATCAGACTTCCCATGGATCAGTGCTCGGCGTTCAGTGCTTATCTTCAATGCCTTTCACTTTCTGTACCCGAACAACATCCGATCCTCCACTCATATCTACCTTCCACGCAGCTGCCCGTTTGCCCTCGCCGCGGAAATTACCTTCGCCTTCAATTCTGCGATCTGAGAAGCTCAAGCCGAAGGTCTCCGCCTTATCAGAAGCCCTTGCAGCTGTTTTCGCTTTCTTCATGGAGAAATTGCTACCATCTGCACCACCACGACATTTTCTCTTGTTCCTTGCCTGTAACAAACACACAAGTAATTTAACACAAATGACTATATCATGTCGTACATAATAAACTTTAGATAAAACAACAAGGACAAATTCAATAGTCCGGTGGATTCAGAGTACCTTCTACACGCATAAAGTAAAACAGGTTTCGTACGTTCCAACGATATTATAATAATAAAACATTCCATCATAATTACGTAGGAGTTCTTTCGTATCGTAAGAAGTGCAAGGGCATCTTAGCATTATGAAGAGAAAGCTTAAAAATGCTTAGTAATGACTTCCGTGCAATCTCCATAGATGCGCTTTATGACGCACGTGTGATCTTCAAGAGAAAGAATAACATTAGCACACGCCAATGTTAAGTACGAATCACATTACATGCATGGTGCTACAATGATGTGCCTCTTCTCCGTTGCCTCAAGGCTATTCGCTAGTTAAAAATGTCTTTCACCTGGATGGCATCACTTATTGATAATAATGCACGATAATCACTTTAATATCAGAGATTAAACGATATCAAAATAAATAAAGGGATATATTACTTTAGTCGACAAATGTTATTGAAATGTTAGTTTATGTGAGATTTTTTACTTGATATTTTTGATGTGCTGATTTCAAATTTGGAAACGATTTTGTTTTCCATTCCCTCACTTTTTATGCAATTAAACCCTTGCTTTCCATTTTTTGCCGTGAAATTAATTTCATTTTTTAATATCACGTCAACAATGCGACAAACTGTACAGTCTGATCAATTACCAATACCTAACAATTGCAGTTGTGAAGGGGTTTCCGCCATTTGAGGATGAAGATAGCGACTAAAAGCTGGAGACATGTTATGAAACTGAGGGAATATTTTCAGAAGCGTTTAAATATTTCTCAGTTATCGCACATTCCTCAACACCTCGGATGTGTAGACAGCTGAGCTCAATGACTATATGTAATTTGTCTCGTGAAAATAAAGTTGAAGTGCTTGCTTTTTGATTACAACAAACTGGTTTACTATTTCACACTGAAACATTCCATACGTCACTACCAAAAACGGGAGATGTTCGTTTCTAATTTTTCTGAGGAGAATTAATGTGTCACAAAGCGACAGGTCGTATCTTCGTAAATATGTGTTAATAGTTTATATCCAGTGTTTAATAACCATTGCTATTTTAGACATTACACCAAAAAACCACGTCTAATTTAATTGTTAGCATAGAATATGTTTCTCAATCAATTTTCATCATCTTCACTCTTCATACCGATTGTATTGAATAAATTGTTCAAAGTGAGATAATTTCTTCAAAAATTCGTTATTCATTTTGCACGTTGGAAACAGTAAAACAGGCACATTGATAAAAATGAAGAAAGCAAAATTATGTCAAATTTCTTTACTGTGTCACTTGAAGTTGAGTAGTTCTTGAGTTGTACTATTCCCCAATGTTAAAGTGAGAGCAGAAACTTTAATTAAATAGTAATTTGCGCAGCGTCCTTCATGTAATCAAAGGTTAAAGTTTAATAAAAAAAATTGGAGGAATTTTTCAGAAACTTTTCTTTGCAAAATTTAAGTTGTTGGGGTTTCAAGTAAAGTATCCTCAAAAATCAAAATATATTTTGAATTCGCAGGGCTTACAGTTCGTCGATAGCACTGAGAGAGTATCGATTTGGGAGAAAATCGTGTGAACGGTTTAGGTGCTAGGTTTGCCACAGACAGACAGATAAGGAAGACAGTCGTTTTGCCGTCAATCCATTTTCGGTTTCAATTACCCACAAAACGTGGATTCTAACAACGTGTTCGAGAAGGTAATTTTATACTTCACAAAGGATAGAAATGAATCCACTTTTTCGAAACGAAACCAAGGCTCTATGTATTTTGGCCCTAAGTACGTAAGTATTTTGGCGAGAAAGTAAAAAGTATTTCTTTTCAAGTTTCACGTGATTTTTTATGTCCAAGGACGGACGGGCCAGGAAATATAAAAACATGAACTTGAGTAGCATAAATAACTATGTTTATTCCTCCGTGGGCGTCACGGAAGTTGATTCACTCAAATACAGCTCTTGGTAGTAATGCGTTTCCAATATCAAATTATTGCAATACCATAAGACAAATATTTTGACATCACAATAGGCTGCATGTTTTCCTCTTGCTCATTTCATAGTTACATATGCCAAGGCAAAACAAGGTTTTGAATGCCTCTGAGAAAGCTTATAGAAATCGTACACCACAGGTACTGGCTGCAATTTTGAATGATAATGGAGACAGATCATTGGGAATCCGATGGTTCTTTTTTGTCAGGTTTTGTCTTCCTCAGATTGAGGTCTTGACCAGTGTAACTACAATGGCCATGAATTATAAAAAGAAATTGTAGGGAACAATCATGAATTTGGTTTAGGTGCAAAAGCACGAACGTGTAATTTTGCAATTAGAACTTTTGTTTACTGAGAGTTAACCACAAACCGTTAGTATTTTTTACCTTTTACTTTTTCGTATACGTGTAATAAGAATAGTTGCGTAATGCTGCACAAAATCAGTTTGGAAATGTTTTATGCAAATATAGGTTTTTAATGCATGACACGAAAAGTGTGTAAAATATTTCTGTCCGTCAGTGAGCAATAATGGAATAACCTTACAACCTAGGAATTAGAAAGAAATTTTTTTTATTTCACTCTCTCATAAACATGGTAAAAGTGTACCCAACACGTTTATAAAACAACTTAATCTTTAATAGTTGCATTAATGTTTATGTGAATCATGGCAAATCAGTGTTGCTGGGTCATTATTTAAGACAGAGTTAGCCAACATTCGACGCTCTAAATCTACGCAACCGTCCTCGCTATCTATCCTCATCTGACATTTGGTGTAATGTGCTGGAGAAACTCTTTGTTTCAGCAAATATTTCTCAAAATAATTAAAGAACAATGAGAAGGGTCATCGCCTTGATATTTGTCGGCTTTTGTTCATTCGACTTTAAAATACCATCGCTTCCATACATATTCAGTTAGGCATTTCATTGAAACGTTTTTATGAAAGCCCCTTTATTTAGAACGCAAAGCTTCAAGCTATTTTAATGTTCAGACATGCAATAGAGTCAAAAGAAAATGCAATGAATTTCAGTTTCGGCTATACGGGATTCGACGCTTTACCTTATATTGTCACAATATGATTACACATAGATCAAAAATTAAATTTTGAAAATGTCTAAGAAATTTTATTTCATACAATTAATATCCGGTATAAAATAAACGTGTTTCAATTTCAATTAGTTTTAGGTGAGACGTATCTATTCCTTCATAGAAGCCGCAAAACCAGCCAAAATCTCGAGTAAATAATACCAAACACATACGTCTATGATTTTATCAAGAATATCAAATAACAATAAGCGATACAATTTTTTAAAAGTAATGTAACATTTTAACTAAAACAATCTTTGTAAATATTCAATTAATGACTTGCCAATTACTGACAATAAAATAATAAAACATGTAATGCGTGCAGTAAATACTTATGCTACATACAGAATACAGATTGTCTGATCAGTGTGAAGTGTTAGTCGAGTTTAATGGTCGTTGGCCTTGGAGGAAATCAAAAAGCAATACGCGGCGTTCGAACATTGTAGAAGACATTTATAAAATGTTCGTGTATTCATGAATTCTTAATGCAAGGACATTTAAGAGACCCAATGTTCCAACAACTGTTACGAATTCATAAAATTCCTATACCATCCGTTGAAATATTATGTAAATGTCAGCTTGTTCTGACCGTAAATGTACCCAGGTATTTTGCTCAAGGTTGACTTCTAACATTCACTTCCGCCATCAAGGAAAACATGACACCCAGCTAAAAGGAGCCTCAGAAATCAAAGATTTTTCCTCTCTTCGAATATTCTTAGAAAACGGGTAATATTTTGGGGCACCATGTAAAAGAAGAAGGAATAGTTTCTCAAGTAGGAAAAGATAAGTTTTACAAGGGAGCAATTATTTGCGCTAGAATGACCTGCGAGCTAGTTTGTATCACACTCTCATGAAAGGCCTTGAACGTACTGGGATTTCTCTTCTTTTTTTAATGTATTTACTTTTTGTTGATGTTTACATAATTCAGTAATGTTAGTTTCTTCATATGTATTATCTTGACTTAGAAATATTCTTATTCTAACTTAACATATAACTGTACTAACTATAAATTGATGTAGGGTTCTCACAGAGCATTTTAGTTATTGTGTGAAAAAAAATTTAGGAATGCTTCTAATGGGAAACTGTTTTTAATACGGGTTGGGAAATAGTTGACTGATGCTAGATTATAGTGGGAGGCTAGTGCTATCGTGTTTGTATTTGAATAGAAGTTATTAGAGGGGTGGGCATTGTGGTGGCAGATGGGTGGCAGGTTTAGTTCTTTGTGGAGTTGTCATTTGATATGAACAAAGGAGCATTTGTTGATATTCGGAGGAACTTTTTTTGCATCACTTGAATTCGGGTTATGTTTGTTTGCGAGGCATTGATCCATGTTGGGCACGCATAGAGCATAAGCGATCTAATTATTGTTTTATGTAAGGGTATTGCATTGTTTAATGAAAGCTTGCTTTTGTTGTTGAGGAGGGGCTTTTGTTGGATTAACTTTGTTTTAGTGAGTTGTAGCTTTTCGGTTACATGGGTTTGCAAATTTTGTATACGTACACGTACGCATTTAGGTAGAATACATAGTGTACGTATACGTACGTGAAAATTGTAGAATGATGAATTGAAGACACTTTTGAAACATGTTCGATCTCTGATAAAACTCTGAGGTAAATCATTCGTAATCATAAATGTTGCGTTCTGAGAATTGCGCCGTCCGACGAAGTTTACTTCTGTTTTGGCTTCATTACATCAAGTTTCGCTCTCGCAACAACTGTGAATTAATAGTTGATTCATATCGATGAAAATTGTTTTATGCGTATATAGTGCGACAGTTTATTGAATATTTGGGAATGGTTTACAGGATCTGTGATGTAAATTGTAGACTGACTACAAGTTCCCATGTTTCAATT